TGGTAACTGGAATGAAGTGCATTTCTTTCTATAAATTCTTTGTTCATAATTCAGCCCTGTGTTCAAGTGTCTGTTGATCAATAGACCGATAAATGGACGTTATACTCATGGAGTGAGTGCCGGAATCCTTTATAACATGAAAGATATAGATGCAAATGCAAAAGATGAGGAAAATCAAACTTTTTGATATGCTGGGATCATTCTAACATATTTGGGGCCACAATATTTTTATATTTTTGAACTTTGAAGATGAATCCGAAGAAGACAAATAAAATGCAAAATTTTCAATTAATATAAATCCTGGTGCGTTTCAGTTAAATTTAATCTTCGTGAATACCGATATACGAATTCAAGCGCATTTGCGCTTTGGCAGCTGAGGAGGGTGGTTCGGTAAAACCACCAAACTAGTCCTGGAAAATTTGCAAATATAACGCTGATTTTTGTGATTTGACTTCTAAATTAATCATCCTTCGACGTGTTATCTGTTTTCAGCGTATTTGAACCTAAATTATTGAACGGAGTTATCTCTCTTTCCTGTTTTTAACCGGTGTCAGATTAACTGTGGATACCTTCTCGGTTAACTGGGAATATTCTGTGCTATCTTAATGCAGAATTCCATAAAATTAATTTATTAGTGAGAACAGCTAAAAATAATATATAGCATTAACGCATTTTCCAAATATGGCTGTTGTTAACGATAGGCAGTATAATCAAACAAATCTTTTTTTTAAAATTAATTCTGCTTGGCAAAGGGCTCAAAGGAATATAAATAATTCATACTGATCACTATCCTTGAGGTTATCACTGCGATTATATAAACTGGCAGTGGAAAATGCACAGACAGTCGACATGCATCTTCCATTTCCGCCTTTTATTATGCACTTTCTCGCCTACGTTTTATTTGGTAATGAGGCTTTTATGTTCCACTCTCTATGCGCGTCCCCAAATTTTATGACAGCATCCTTGCTTCACGTTGCGGTCATTCCAGTAGCACGTGACTTAATGCGCGCAAATGAGAGGGCAATGCTAACTCTAAGCACTAAACATGAGAGAGAAATTCCTGCGTAGATGCATTTAGGCAAAATGAAGCCGAAGGAAAAGCTTCCAAGATTTCCGCTTAAGAGATTTCTAGTCGCTTTACTCAATTCGGTATTTCACGGAATTCCTTCCTTAAATTTAGGGCTAAGTATGAAGTCTTCGTGAAGAGAGTCAGTTAAATTTTAGTGGATTGTTTGCACTTTTTCCTATGCCTTTGAGGAGATGTAAAAATTTAAGTTTTATATGTTTCAAATATTGTTAGAAGTAGGTGGTTTGGTAAGATCTCGATTTAAATGCATAAATTTCGCTGTCATTAGTGAACAAACATAAATTAGGACAAATTAAATTTTATCAGGAATATACGTCCTTTTCGAAATGTTTTTCCTGAAATACTTTTGATGTCTCTAAATCCAGTTTGGCGCATTTCTTGCTAAAGGCTTTAACACTGAAGCACCAAATAAAAACTGACACAGATGGGCTATGCTTTCCGTAGAAACCTACTAAGAATTTTTTCTGAATTGATTGCTTTAGCATAATGCGAAAGGTTAAAAATGGAGCTTCTCGTGCTTGGTATTTTTTGTTGCTGAAAAAGCGTTCATAAGTTTCATACGAAAGTTATTTTGGTGAGCGTTCGAAGTCATACTTAGTTATTCAATGACGAAATAAAGATTTAATACACTGCTTGTTAATTTAATTATTTGTAGTCTACTGTGAGTATGCCGAATATTGAGCATGATATGGACCTCGACAATAATGTGTTGGAGGAAAAGAGGATTTAAAGCTTGCTGTAAGTTATTCCTTGCAAAAAAGCTATTGAACTCAAATAGAAACTCAGTTAACTAATAAGCTATTAAAATAGCAGCCTTCATAAAGGTGTCATCACTCTTATGCCACGAGTACCTTAATGCAACTGCGGCTTTAATTTGTAGTTTCAATTAAAGCAAACGAAAAAGAGCACCTGATTAAGTATGTCCCGACATATTTGCAGTATTGTAGAAAATCGTTTGCATCTGTTAAACGTGGCAATCTGTTGCGGCTTCCCTGCGCCATTAATCATATAGGGCTCCCTTTCTTCAGGAAGGTTACACCGGTAAATCTAGTTATTATGCAGCACTTTAAGAAACATCATATACTCCTCGTATGAGAAGGAAGTGCTCCATAGCGCAGCACTGATGAAGGACTAAGTTCCTTCAGATGTTGATCACAGCAGATCCTTTCCAGCACCTGCTGTGATCAACATTTGAAGATGACCATGTCTTCAGTAGCTCTCCGCAGGAACAGGTACGAAGGTCTCCAACTTTAGGTTACGAGACTACATGAAACCATAGATACACAGACATCTTCCATTCGTCATTGCCCATACTGAAAGAAGTTATTCGCAAACATGTGACAGGAAATACAACTGAAATCCTCTTCGATGCTGACATTGTCGTGCACATCTGTCGGCCATTCTCAGGAAGGGCAATCACACTGAATAGTAGTAATCTTGACCACTTGCGTTAAAAGGACGTGCTGCACACGTCGAGATGCTTTTGTCTCAAACCGCAAGCGACGTGAACACCAAGTCAATAGGCATTTATCGCAAAAATGAAAATAACGTAGTGCACACGTCGCCTAACAACGAAATTGCTTATTTCTCGAGTTACAGCTCTGGATTGCATTCGCAGACGCGGAGCGGCTTAAATGAGACACTTTACCGCTTGTTATATTGTAGCGCAAGGCACCGCAACCGTGAAGTTTAGTCGTAGCGCAAGTGGTTAACTATGCAGCGAACTATGCTGCTCTACTGTATCAAGTGTGACACAAATGAAGCACAACATTTTGGTAAAATTTTAACTATTCTGGCAACTATATCTTTCTTTATTAAGAGGAGACATTCGATAGCTTTCTGCGAAAACTTCATCGTGGTTATCGCATACACATTTCGAATTATTTAACTATTTAATTATTATTTATTATCAACTAATTAATTATTGTTATTTATCATAAATTATCTAATTATTTATTAAATTTTTGTTACTTTTAGATCACAAAGTATGCATTTTTATTCTGATTTTTTGAATTTTACATAGGATTCTTTTTACTTCCTTGTACGAAGTAAAGGATGCACTGTAATCGCGAAAATTTGGGGGTATCATATTACAACGAAAATATCCATTTTGACCGCTATAGAATGCAATTTAACGATGTTGTTTTGCTTGACATCTGTACGTAAGGACAGAATAAATGACTATTTTACCCAAAACGGGTTGCAAAAAAGATTTAAAATGCATTCAAAAGAGATTTGTTCGTGACGGCTTGTACGTACATATGTATGCATGTGTGTATCTCGCAAAACTCAAAAACGAGTAACCGCAGAACGTTGAAATTGTGTATATATGAGACTGCTATAACATGTAGTTGTGCACCTCCCTTTTTGGTTGTAATCGGCGGCACCAAAAGTACATATATATATATATATATATAAATTGCTTGGTTTGAATGCTGGCGAAATTATATATACATATAAATTGCTTATTTTCCAAATTTTCACAGTTACCGAAACTCATGCAGTCACAAAATGGCGGCCACACCACGAGCAAAAAAGAAAGCAAAAAAATAAGCCTGTTTGGAGCTTCTATAATTAAGACACCATAACACTGTGAAAATTTTGAAAATTAACGCTGATTTTTGTTGTTTGACTTCTGGATTAGTACGTATTCCGCGTGTTATTGTGTCTTAATTATAGAAGCTCCAACAGGCTTATTTTTGCTTCTTTTTTGCTCGTGGGTGGCCGCCATTTGTGATTGCAGGGGTTTCGGTAACTGTGAAAATTTTGAAAATTAACGCTGATTTTTGTTGTTTGACTTCTGCATTAGTGCTTTATCCGTATTTGGTGTTTTATATTTTTCCATATTTTTAAATTTTTAATTAAGATAGTTTGAGGTTTTATGTATTTCTGCCTTGTGGCGTAGTGAGAACTGAATTAATTAAATGATAAATATATCTCTAATGAAATTCGAAGAAATAAGTTTAAATAAATGCAGGAAAAAGTGCATATAATTTAATATTCCGTTCAAGGAAGTCACGTGGTGTACACATCAGATTTTTTATTTTGAATTTCTTGTTACTCCGTATTTTGAATTTTTTGCGTTATTTCATATTTTTGTTTCAAATATCTTTTTATGTGTAACCCGCAACTGGAAATAAATAAAGAATCAGTTACGCCATCTAATAAAAAATCTGGGTAAAGTTGATGACATTAGGAGCACTTTTATTTTTTACCACGTCCAAGAATACAAAAAAAAAGTTATTAATGTAATTTGAAAATTATGAAATTAAAAAAAAGTAATCTATCTGTCTATACAATCTTATCTCTCTGTAGACAGAAATTCAGTTTTCTTATCTACAAAACGAATTTTATTATGCTTTCATTTTAAAATTTGGCAATTTTCGCATGTAATCAATGTAAAATTATATTAGCATTTTAAAATTAATATTGCATGTGCATATATTATCAGTTCAGCTACTTCTGCGGCATAAAAACAAAAATCTATTAACGATTTTATGAAACAAAGTATATTCCTTTAAAGGTATGAAGATTTATCATCTTACGAATTAATAAGTATATTTTAAAACTTTGATACATGACTCTGAGAAGCTGATCTTTTTTAATGATTTATTATTTATTTTTTTTATTTTTTTATTTATTTATTTTTTTTTTTTTTTTGTTATTATGACTGTTCCCTTTAATGATCATTCTACTGCCAAGATTTTTGCAAGGGAAAATTGTGCACGACATCGGACATTATATTAGGTGATCACTGCAACGAAATCAACTTATAGACGTTGATTTAGGTATCAGTGATCGCCCAATATATTTTTTTTTTTCCTATAAAATGCGAAGGTTCATTACAACTAGCATCAATTATGCGTTATTGCTTCAGAAACATAATGTGTGAAGTAATTAATTAACGAGCCTATTTAAATGGTGCCATTCATTCATCTTTATTTAATTAAGCGAATGTACAATTTTATAGCATTTTTTTTGTGTTTCAAACAACAGCTCGTACACAATACCGATCTTCGTGAATACATCATACATTCAATGCAACAATACTTAACTCTGTACTGAAAAGCTCAATTTGAAATAGACTTTTTCCTTTCTAAGAAGGCATCGGTTATTGAAATATTAACTCATCCGTGGAGATTCAGTCAACATTGACTTACGACTGAACCTTCATTTTCATTTCACCATGCATAAAGGAAAATCACAATAAAAAGTGTCGGCGTTTGGATATAAAGTTTACACACAACAAACACCACACACTGAACACAATTCAACAGCATATATCAAGTGTAATACTTTTTGCAAGTTCAAATCACATTTAAATGTCAAAAGACGTCATCGACAAAGGCATGTTTGGACATTAAGAGTATGGTTGAAAACACAAAAAATAAGCTGGAAAAATAACACTAGAAAAACTCAGGTCTCAAAAAACAGTTTTTTCGAGTTACAAGAGCTCAGATATGAAAACACAATAGTTCTTTGCTGCATAAAGCAGCGCGAACGTAGTTTCTTTAGTTCCCACATTAGGATGTTTATGTTTTATCGTTCATGATAGTTGGCATATATTTTAATACTTTCTCCAGGAAGTAAAGTCAGAAAAGCCAACTGGGCGAGATTATACATCGCATAAATAGTAGATATAAATCTCAGTTTCTTTAACACTACATTAGACCGGAGGTGTTCATATCAGAGTCAAACAAGTTCACTGAAAGTCAGAAGCTCTGGTTTGGTAGTAAGCATTCCATCGATTGCCAAAAGCTCTTTACAAAACCACTTTAAGCACTGCTACATTTCAAACATTCGATCACATAAAATTGTTTATTATATTACACTTAATAAGTTAGAGAAGCGGGCAACGCAGAAGCCCCACAGCCAGTCCGTCTGTCTAAGTTTGGTAAGCTGTCCGTTAGCTCATTGTCTGGAGAGCTAGCTGCTGGACTTAGACGAATTTGTGTATCCATAAAACTGCTGGATGACTGTTCTGAGTCCGTTGGGCTCTGAATACCACAGTATGCCACATGACAAGGGGATCCTCCTGTTCCCCCTAAGCTGGGACCCATATTCAAGACTGCGGCCAGGGAACTGAAAAGGGGCCTTGGTGGTCCTTCCAAGGGTTCCAGTGTTTCGTAGTGGGGCTCGGTTTGTAACTGCTGTTGCTGTTGTTGCTGTTTAATGTGGTGAGGGGAATTATGATTCTGGTGGTAGCAGCAGAGGGTTCTGTTATCATGGTGGTCTGGAACGCTCCACTGTTGTTGGGGTTCTGGTGTTCGCAGCAGATACTGCAGTGGATGTTCTTCACAATTCCTGCCTCCAAAGTGCCGATCTGTAAAATAAAATAATTAATGAAGTTAGAAATTGCTTGAAAATGTACATAAAGTGAATCATTCGATTTCTTCAATATAAAAACAATATAAAATCCTTAACCTGACAGGGTTTATATTAATCATTCTCAGGATTGTTTTTGTATGTTGAAGTAAGTTTATATGCGACATTTTTATAAGGTACCTTTATCATTTAATATACATTTGGGTTTTAGAACAACGATATGACATGCATGTAATTTTTCTGCTGATTTGTGTTGCTATGAAACACCAAAAACTCAGCTATGCAAAAATATATTATAAACGAAAATGATAATATTTCCTAAGAATATAAATAAATGGTCATTAAAAACTTCTACCCTTTTTTGCTTATGAATGTTAAAGTAATATCGCAAGCAGAGTTCTAATACTCAGTCTGTAATGTGATTATCAACACTATTGCATGCAACACTTTCCCATTCAGAAACGTACGATCTTAATGTAATATATGTCTCTTACTTAAAGAATTAAATTATGTATCACAGACTCATTCATAATCTTGCTTTTATTCTAAAGCATTTAAAAATTAATTTATATGCATTTATTTGTCACAAGAAGGGTAAAATTATAATTAATACTGTAAATATAATATTATCATTAAAAGTAATAATAACAGTACCTAGTATGAATCAAAAGTTTTCGTGAAATGCAAGATAAAACTACTATGTAAGATAAAACTATTCATGATATGTAAGATAAAACTATTTTAAGATTATATATGTCATATAATCGGGACTACATGCAGTACTCTACATTCTTCGCATTCATATGATAAATATGCAGTCAGAAAAACGATTTCGAAAATTTATTTCATAATTACTGTTAGAACCCAGTAGTGGCCGAATGGTTAATACCGGTGAATGCTAATAGTTCCGACCCGAGTTTGAAAGCAAACGAACTCGCCGGCTGCATGAATGTCTTTTGTAAACTTCCCCATGTGCAATGTTGAATAGGAGCCAGTCTCCCTTATAAAGCTCTCCACGAAGACATCCTTCAGGCAAATAGTTCTTGTGTGCTTGACGATATTTGGAATAATTTAACTTATTCTTTCATTTACCCGCAAACAAATACATAATTTTAAGATGGTGTGTAAAAGCCAAACGCAAATTTATTACTTTGGTTTCTTTCCTATTTCATTATAGCAGTGGGCAAGATAGAAGTTAATTATCTTTGGTGGGTTAAGATTTGCATTGCTTAGCAAAAATTCAAGATTTTAAGTGCAACAAGAAACAATAAACTCCCAGGTAAACAACAATTGTATTACTATTATGCATTTTGAAAGCAATTTCAATTCGAACTTAGTTACAATTTACTGATTATTTTATGAAGTAATATCAAATACAGATGCAAAGATATGACTCCATATGCTAAAATAACGCGAGATAGAACACCTGCTTTGCTTAATAAGAAAAGAAGTTGGAATTAAAACAGACCAGGTGTTAGACAAATTCCGGTTATTGGCCTCATCTCATCTACGGTAAAGTACCTTCAAGTGAGATTCTTCAGCTTACCTAACTCTTTAAATAAATGCAGATTTCCTGCCAGAGCATGGACCGACTATTTGCATACAAAATAATCGCTGGTGGCTAGGTGTCACGAAATAAGATCATTAATCAAGGGGGCGTTAACTTAAGGCGTAGTCTGGGCGTGGCCAAGGTGATTGACGAGACGTCGCTAAGGCTCGTTAAACCAAAATCAAGGCGCGGAATTATTATTCTTACTTGCCCTATTAAAAAAGTGCCCGTGAAAAGGAAGTCTGGGTTTTGTAATTGGTACAGTGTAATTTTAATTATACAAAAAAGTTCCGTTTATTATTAACAACAACACTTACTTACTCTAATGATGAAAAAATAGCATTCAAGGCGATATAAGATCCTCGGTAATTCACTTTCCATGATGCATAATGGATTTCATGCAGTGTAATAAATCATGCGATTAATTTTTTTTATTTATTGTTTTTTCATGTTGAAAAATCTCGAGGTAATTGAAAGTTGAAGAGTAATTAAAGAATTTTGGATCACAACACCTTTTCAAAAAAAGTTAGAGCGCTTAGGAGAAAAAATAAGTAGATTATTAAAATAGAGACGAAATTCTGTACTTTATTTACAGTTTAAGTTTTTTATTATTATTATTTATTTAAAATTTCTATTTTTGATTCATGAAAACTGGATTTATGATTTGAAATTACAAGAAATAAAACAAAACAAAACAAAAACACTGTTTTAAACTGATGTCAACATACACTTCAAACAAATACGAGTTTCAAATAAATACGAGAAATAATATACAAATATGAGTTTCATAATTCGTTTTTATAAAAAATAAAAATCAGTAAATATTATAAACCTATTTATTCAATTTAGATTTTTATTTTAAACGTAAAACTAGTCTAATTTAAAACCTTTTTTTAGTAAAACTCAAAGAGCTGAAATTCTACCGTACAGTGATTGCTTTTCCTTTGGAAAAAAGAATTGCTTTGTTATAAGCTGATGCTCAAAACAGCTTTAAATTTCCCCACTTTTATAAAACCCATTTTTCTTTCATGAACTGAAAGAAGACTAAAACCCCGTTCGAATGTTTTAAAACAAATTTCATTGACCATACATTGACGTTTTAAAAATCAGATTTTATACTACTATATCACTGTTATTCATAAAAATAAACTAAATATTAATTTTTTTATCTAAATAATGGAATCCTGTAGAACAAAATAATAACAAGAAATTATGATGTAAGTGAAATGATTAATATTAATCCCGCACTGTAAAACTGAACAACTAATAGACTGCCTTCACATTAATCGGGAATATTGTGAGGCGATCAGAGTGAGGCTTCCTTCAGATACACACCGGAAGCGCGTCTCACATTATCGCGAGCGTTTCAACAAAATTTGACACCATGCCATATATTAAAGGGGAAAAATAAGCTATTATTTTTTTTTCTATTTATCGTTTTCGATCATTAGCCTAGCGTAAATTAACTGCTGATATTTAAGTTTCAATAAAAAAAAAGTGATATGTGGACATTCTTCCATGGCCTGGCAATTTCTCAACCATAAAACTCACCTTAACGTGAAGGTATTATAAACGTCATTTAATTCTGAATTTGTGTAAAAATTAATTTTGAAACTGTATAAAAGAACGTTACTTCATTTCGAAAGGGATACGTTTGCATAGCTCCCCCCCAAAAAAAAAAATTACCAGTATCTGCCATATAATTTATTCAAATGCCATATATTATTCAATGCCATATAATTCAGCATCTGCCATATAATTTATTCAAAGTTCTAATAAATCACTTACAAGATTGCATAATTTATGAAAACTGAATTTTCTGGTTTACAAATTTCATATATTTCCGTAACTTTGTTCACCAGCATATTTTTAAGTAGCACCTGAAAATTCACTCAGAATTTTGAGTATTTTCAGATTAAGAAATTAGTTTAAATTAATTAATCTTAATGTAAACTAATTTAATTACATTAGCTTTCAAATTATTAAAAACTAAATTAACACTTCTAAAATATTTCAAAATGTTGAACGGCTGCTATTTGCTGAATATTATTTGGAGAGGTCAAAATTTAATGAAATTCCTCATTAAATAAATAGAATACCCAAAGGAATATTCTCACTGAATGCAATTCTAAGTATTCGTAATTTAAAATTACCACTTCACTAATGGACAGTTAAACGGACTCTTTCCGCTAAATGCAGACTGAAATCCAAGTCCATTGGCGTATGTAGTGTAAAGTGAGATAGAACTGCCAGATAAATCCCTTCCTCAAAATATGTATACACAGTAACCATTTAAATCTCTACATCACAGGGAATCAAAGAGTTGTTATGACCCGACAGCTATAGTGCTATCACAATAATTTACTCGACAATTATCAAAATTACTTCATTCTTCTGCTTCTCATATGACGTTTTTTATTACCTTGCACATATAACGGCACTGGGACGTGAAATATAACAGCAATATTATGTTTGTGAGATATCGGAAATTTGAAACATATTTAAAAGATTTTCAAAACAATTTATGCAAATCTAAATGAATATAACTGGTTTTATTTTTGTTTATGCTGGAAGTAATGCATTCGGTAAAAATTTCGAGGTATCTTTTTTCTAAGGAAATACACATTCTGAATATTCACGAATCCATGTGTATTTTTTTTTTTTTTTTTTTTTTTTTTTTTTGGCGTGACGTCTGTGCATTTAAAATAAATTACTCTTTTTTTTTCAAAACGGATAGTAAAATGGATTTAAAGGGATTTTTTTTCGTGACATTTGCTAGTACATACGTATGTATCGCACATAACTCAAAAATGATTAGCCGCCAAAAGATTAAATATAGTATATGGGACTACTGTAGTATCTAATTGTGCACCTCCCGTTTTATATATTATATATATATATATATTATATTACATCCAACCCCTTACCCGACTTAATTTTTGAGAATCGTCTCATACTTCCAATTATAGAAGTGGCTTAAATGACGAAAATATTCATGTTTTGGTAATGTCAAATTTTTAAAAGAATTAATTTCCGACAAATAATGAAATCTAACTTTTAACGCGGTCTTTCGTTTCCGATACTTATATATGGGAAATTTTTATACTTGTTATAAAAAAGTAAAATTATAAAAAGCTTGACTTCCGTACGAAAAAATTGACCAGGATATTTAATTTCAAAATTTGCAATTTTTGATGTCATTTTCAACTTGCCTTCAAGGATTATTAATTCGGTTAGGATAATTCGAGGAAATAATTTTAAACAAAGTGCACGTTTTATGTGCCGTACGAGGAAGTCATGCCGTGTCTAGGTCAGATTTTTTGAGTTAAAAATACCACGCATTTTCTCTTATCCTCTAAACATAAACTTTGAGTATTTATTCATTTAAATATAATTTTCGTTGTATTTGTAATAAGTTGGTTAAGATTATTATGCATAATCACTAATCT